ACAATACCTTCCCCTGGGAAACTTAGGACTCTCAAGGGGGTTCCGCTTGCCGAGCGATTTTGTCACCCGTGACGCATCACAATGTAACATAACATGTCTTTATTTTACATTTCATTAAATTCAACATCTCTGAGCCCAAAGGCAGCAGGCATCATGCAGATAACTATTTTTGAAACAGTTCTGACCAAGTCCAACTAAAATCCAAGAAAATAAATAATGAAAAAATAAAATATAAAACAACATGAAATAAGTTAATTGACAGTCTTATATATGAAGAATATATTAAACCAAAAACTTTCATATTTTTAGAAAGGATGTGAATTAAAACAACCACAGCAGGTAACAAGTTGATAAAAACTTGGCTGAAATAGAAAAGCTTTTACATAGACTGCAAAACACTCTTTCGGTGTCCCCTTAATTCTATCGGCCTCACCAAGGTATAGGTCCTAGCCCAGTCTTTACTAAAAGAACATTTTCTCTTTTTTGTTGCCAATATGACGCCTTGTAAAATTAAAAAATTAATTTACAGAATTATGAAGACAAGATTTCTAACCAGTATGCACTGCTTCAAGTCAGACACGGTCGGTCCACATAAAGTTGAACACACCTAATGAAAGTAGTTGAAGGATAACTGGTAGTTAACTGATTTGAAGCGCCGCTGCACAGACCGATGACATCAAAGTACCGCGAGAGCGATATGTAAACATGCTCTAGACAATCCCACAGTTCTTTAATGTCATACAACGTTCAGTCTGTGCAGCGACACTTCAAGTCCAACACACCGATTGTATTCCTATAGGAACATGGATCAGCTGACTGACGTGGCCTGAACTGATGCTACGCTGGATTTCTCTAATCATTTACTCACCCTCATGCCATCCCAGATGTATATGGAGTGGAGGAAGCATTTGAGAGAACACGTTTGAAGTACTCTGAACTGGCAATCAAAGCTGCGCAAAATATCTGGAAGGTGAGGATTGTCCCAGTGGAAGCGGGAACCAGGGGTTAGTGTTAGGGTTAGGGTTAGACTGTGGATTAAAGCAAGGGCATCCACTGGGCCCTTATGGGGTTATGAAGACTGGGGGTATGGAGTTATGAAGACTGTGGGGTATGGAGTTATGAAGACTGGGGGCGTATGGGGTTATGAAGACTGGGGGGTATGGTGTTATGAAGACTGGGGGCGTATGGGGTTATGAAGACTGGGGGGTATGGGGTTATGAAGACTGGGGGGTATGGTGTTATGAAGACTGGGGGCGTATGGGGTTATGAAGACTGGGGGATATGGGGTTATGAAGACTGGGGGGTATGGGGTTATGAAGACTGGGGGGTATGGTGTTATGAAGACTGGGGGCGTATGGGGTTATGAAGACTGGGGGGTATGGGGTTATGAAGACTGGGGGGGGTATGGGGTTATGAAGACTGGGGGGTATGGGGTTATGAAGACTGGGGGCGTATGGGGTTATGAAGACTGGGGGATATGGGGTTATGAAGACTGGGGGGTATGGGGTTATGAAGACTGGGGGGTATGGTGTTATGAAGACTGGGGGCGTATGGGGTTATGAGGACTGGGGGGTATGGAGTTATGAAGACTGGGGGCGTATGGGGTTATGAAGACTGGGGGGTATGGTGTTATGAAGACTGGGGGCGTATGGGGTTATGAAGACTGGGGGGTATGGGGTTATGAAGACTGGGGGCGTATGGGGTTATGAAGACTGGGGGGTATGGGGTTATGAAGACTGGGGGGTATGGGGTTATGAAGACTGGGGGGTATGGTGTTATGAAGACTGGGGGCGTATGGTGTTATGAAGACTGGGGGGTATGGGGTTATGAAGACTGGGGGATATAGGGTTATGAAGACTGGGGGGTATGGAGTTATGAAGACTGGGGGGTATGGTGTTATGAAGACTGGGGGCGTATGGGGTTATGAAGACTGGGGGGTATGGGGTTATGAAGACTGGGGGGTATGGTGTTATGAAGACTGGGGGTATGGGGTTATGAAGACTGGGGGGTATGGGGTTATGAAGACTGGGGGGTATGGGGTTATGAAGACTGGGGCGTATGGGGTTATGAAGACTGGGGGGTATGGAGTTATGAAGACTGGGGGGTATGAAGTTATGAAGACTGGGGGGTATGGAGTTATGAAGACTGGGGGGTATGAAGTTATGAAGACTGGGGCGTATGGGGTTATGAAGACTGGGGGGTATGGGTTTATGAAGACTGGGGCGTATGGGGTTATGAAGACTGGGGGGTATGGGGTTATGAAGACTGGGGGGTATGGGGTTATGAAGACTGGGGGGTATGGGGTTATGAAGACTGGGGGGTATGGGGTTATGAAGACTGGGGGGTATGGGGTTATGAAGACTGGGGGGTATGGGGTTATGAAGACTGGGGGGTATGGAGTTATGAAGACTGGGGGGTATGGAGTTATGAAGACTGGGGGGTATGGGGTTATGAAGACTGGGGGGTATGGAGTTAAGAAGACTGGGGCGTATGGGGTTATGAAGACTGGGGGGTATGGAGTTAAGAAGACTGGGGCGTATGGGGTTATGAAGACTGGGGGGTATGGGGTTATGAAGACTGGGGGGGTGGGGGGTTTGGGGTTATGAAGACTGGGGGGTATGGGGTTATGAAGACTGGGGGGTATGGAGTTAAGAAGACTGGGGCGTATGGGGTTATGAAGACTGGGGCGTATGGGGTTATGAAGACTGGGGCGTATGGGGTTATGAAGACTGGGGCGTATGGGGTTATGAAGACTGGGAGGTATGGGGTTATGAAGACTGGGGGGTATGGGGTTATGAAGACTGGGGGGGGGTATGGGGTTATGAAGACTGGGGGGTATGGGGTTATGAAGACTGGGGGGTATGGAGTTAAGAAGACTGGGGGGTATGGAGTTAAGAAGACTGGGGCGTATGGGGTTATGAAGACTGGGGATATGGGGTTATGAAGACTGGGGCGTATGGGGTTATGAAGACTGGGGCGTATGGGGTTATGAAGACTGGGAGGTATGGGGTTATGAAGACTGGGGCGTATGGGGTTATGAAGACTGGGAGGTATGGGGTTATGAAGACTGGGGGGTATGGAGTTTTGAAGACTGGGGCGTATGGGGTTATGAAGACTGGGGCGTATGGGGTTATGAAGACTGGGGCGTATGGGGTTATGAAGACTGGGGCGTATGGGGTTATGAAGACTGGGGTGTGGGGCGTATGGGGTTATGAAGACTGGGGCGTATGGGGTTATGAAGACTGGGAGGTATGGGGTTATGAAGACTGGGGCGTGGGGCGTATGGGGTTATGAAGACTGGGGCGTATGGGGTTATGAAGACTGGGAGGTATGGGGTTATGAAGACTGGGGGGTATGGGGTTATGAAGACTGGGGGGGGGTATGGGGTTATGAAGACTGGGGGGTATGGGGTTATGAAGACTGGGGGGTATGGGGTTATGAAGACTGGGGGGTATGGAGTTAAGAAGACTGGGGGGTATGGAGTTAAGAAGACTGGGGCGTATGGGGTTATGAAGACTGGGGATATGGGGTTATGAAGACTGGGGCGTATGGGGTTATGAAGACTGGGGCGTATGGGGTTATGAAGACTGGGAGGTATGGGGTTATGAAGACTGGGGCGTATGGGGTTATGAAGACTGGGAGGTATGGGGTTATGAAGACTGGGGGGTATGGAGTTATGAAGACTGGGGCGTATGGGGTTATGAAGACTGGGGCGTATGGGGTTATGAAGACTGGGGCGTATGGGGTTTTGAAGACTGGGGCGTATGGGGTTATGAAGACTGGGGTGTGGGGCGTATGGGGTTATGAAGACTGGGGCGTATGGGGTTATGAAGACTGGGAGGTATGGGGTTATGAAGACTGGGGCGTGGGGCGTATGGGGTTATGAAGACTGGGGCGTATGGGGTTATGAAGACTGGGGCGTATGGGGTTATGAAGACTGGGGGGTATGGAGTTATGAAGACTGGGGCGTATGGGGTTATGAAGACTGGGAGGTATGGGGTTATGAAGACTGGGGGGTATGGAGTTATGAAGACTGGGGCGTATGGGCTTATGAAGACTGGGGGGTATGGAGATGAGGGGGTGTACCTGGGATGCCCTCTGGAGCTGCGGTGGGTTCATCAGCGAAAGGGTCATGAAGAAGGTGCTCACCTTAGGACTATTATATTCCTACCCTCCCTTACAACTCAAATCTCACTGCTGGCATCAGGTAGGCCAACTCTGCACAGGGATTAGAACATCAAGTCCTATTAGCTCTATTACAGTGGAACACAAACTGAGATTTTTAGAAAAATATTCCATCTCTGTGAGTAATACCTAATAGAACTTTTTAAACTATAGAGCATCGCTTCCAGCCAACCGTGTTATGGAAGCGTGTTGTGAAACTGAGCTCTGCATCACTTCACGCACAAGATTCACAACGTAATTACAACATGCTTCACAACGTTTTGTTACTCACAACATGGAAGTGGCAGGAAGTGATTCTTTATAATAAAATAAACAATAAAATATTAGTATTTTTCTCACACACAGAAGACAATGATTCATCAACCGGGCTCGTATGGATTCCTGTTGTGTTTGTTTGGATGGTTTTTGAAGTGTCAGCTTTGAGAGTCCCGTACACTTGCATTATATGGACTCACAGAGGTTTTTTTCCACAGAACAATGAAAGTCATATACATCTTGGACGGCATGAGAGTGAGTAAATTATGAGAGAATATACATTTTTGGGTGGAATATCTATTTAATTGATCTATTTATACTTAATATCTATTTAAGCTTAGGATATGGACCTGCCCAATTCATTGAGTCTTAACTCATCATGTCAGAAAGCTTGCCAACCCCTGACATAAAATATAACACACATCACACAAGTCATATGCTCCAAAAATGAAGCATAAAAGTAGCCCGTATGTTCAAAAATAGTGTCGAAAAGTCCCACATTTCTACAAATATTTAATGTCAACTATTCAGATATATTTATGAGATAAATGTAAAGTTACCTGTCTTGGGCTCCACAGAGAAGTAAGGTTGTCCATGTATAATGCTGTACACAACTCTGGCGCTGTTGCCGTAAGTGGGATCGTCAGCATCTGTCGCTGTCACCTGAACCACCGTCGTGCCTGTGCAGAACATACGCAACACAACACGCTAGTGAGCATCAGGAAACAATGTAGCTGAAGGGAACAGGATGTGATGTGAGTTGCACCATGGCAATGCTGTGTCTTACGGTGGCCCAGTAGTGCACAACACAACGAAATTTAAAAAGGAAACAATCACAACACAACAGAAACAAGCCACAACACAACGAAATTTAAAAAGAAAACATCAGTTCACAACACAACGAAATCAAGTCACAACATAACTGAGTCCGAACTTTGCATATTTGATATTGAGATCCGTCCTGTGAGTTTGTTCTACTGCTGCGTATGTTGAATAAAACTAAAAGCCTGTGAGTTCACCAAGTTGTCTGCTCAATATATCATGAGAGTTATATCAATTTCGTTTTGTTGTGCACTACTGGGCCACTATAGTGTCTTGAGTGAAAGTGACATTAAAAAAGACTCATGCCAAAACTGAGAACAGATTCAGTCCAGATAAACCCCATCGCCAACCTGAAGCAAGCTGAACCACCAACGGGAAAGCAGAGTGTTTTGGTAATAGCAGGTAAAAGTGCTGCACCCAATAAAAAATAGCATGTATTGTATTTTACTAAATTAATTGACCATGAAAAGAAAACAAGACACAAAGCTTTAACTATCTAGAAAAATAATTGGGCTTATCTAGGCAGAGATATCTGGACTGGACTAGGATCATTTTGCACAATAAACAAAAGCCACTTCAAGCAAGATCTGCTAAAAACTGGAAGCGTTTGTTGAACATGAGCCACACAATTAGAGCAAGCTAATATTCATTTTGTTATTTTCACCGTCATACAGTCTATCTCAAACGAAACACATTGCATGGGTCAAAGTCAATGACATTTCGCATGGAAGTAAACAGTATGAAAACGTCACAGAGAAAAGATGAGGTATTGTTCCATATTGATCTGGCCTTAATGTAACATATTACACTGTCTGAACTAAGAGCTTAAAGTCATAGAATTGCTGCAGAGGGGAGTACTGATCCTTTTAACCTGATTACTACATAAAGCAAATCATAAAAACAAACTTTAGGAATGTACAATAAATCCAACAACAGATTTTTTTACGCATTCACTGCCTTGTATGTAAACCACAAACACACACACACACATACACACACACCTTTTATTTATCCATCAGCGGTGCCATACTTACAACAATCTGAAGTGTTATTTGATTCTGTCCAGTGTGCTATAAATTCAGCTGGAATGTTTTTTTGTTGGCTTGAGTTGAAGCCTCTGCAGCTGAATGTCTAATCTCTCTCTGAGCTGAAATTTGACTGTTATGATCACTATATCTGATTTTCTTATGATCACTAGTTTGGTTTCTGTTTTCTGTACACAAGAATCAACACAAAAGCCAAATTGTGAGAGTGTGATATATTGTGTCTAGGAAATGAGCGAAACACTGAATTCTCAATGTTCTGTAGAATGTGAAGTAATTTATTTATATCTATCTATCTATCTATCTATCTATCTATCTATCTATCTATCTATCTATCTATCTATCTATCTATCTATCTATCTATCTATCTATCTATCTCTGTCTATCTATCTATCTATCTATCTATCTATCTATCTATCTATCTATCTATCTCTGTCTATCTATCTATCTATCTATCTATCTATCTATCTATCTATCTATCTATCTATCTATCTATCTATCTATCTATCTATCTATCTATCTATCTATCTGTGTGTTGGTCATCAGGTAATACTCCTGAGGTTTTTTTTTTAGGCCTGCATCCCCTCAGATTCACCTTTAGTTTTTGATATCAAATACCAGAGTTATTGCAACAGGAGGTTTCTGTCATGCATTGATGTTATGCTTCGGTGCAGGACTTGCATGTGCCATCAGTGCCTAATACGCCTGTCATGTGACTGATCCACACACACTGAATACGCCTGTCATGTGACTGATCCACACACACTGAATACGCCTGTCATGTGACTGATCCACACACACTAGGTGTGTTCGACATCGGCTGCGGCTGGATGTAACCGATCGGCGAGAGTAGCCGCGTGCAGGCGGGGAGGAGCTGCAAACGGAGACGTGAAGTCGGACACATTCTGGTTCCCGTAGTGACCGCTCACGTGGTGTTTGCATACTTTACCACAGCCGAAGTGAAATAAATGCAATATTTGCCAAATACACAGATATGTCAGACACATTTTCATTCAATACTTTAATGCTTCATACAGCATCTGTTTGAACAAGAATAAAGTTCAAAATAAGCCTATATCAATGTAGTGGAGTGAACGTTTTTTAATCAGTTTTATACTGATAAACATGACTATAACATCGCGACTACATGAAAAGACTGTTTACTGTTATACAAAACTGATTTGTGAGCTTTAGTAGAACAAGGTGTGAGAATAAACACGAAACGCACGTGATCGTTGTCATGCGGTGAATCCGGCCAATCGTGGAACAGCTGTGTCGTCATCAGAGCTCGTGCAGCCCAGAGCAGCTGCTCTTGAGAAGCTGCGCTGGCTGAGTCCTCCGGCTACTCTCGAAACACTCTCGCGGTACTTCGATGGCATACGTCACAGTCACGTGGCGTCGGCGCTGCATCAAGTCGGACAAAATTTCTAACCGGCATGCACTGTTTCAAGTCAGCCGCCGATCGGTCTGCGCAGAGCTGCATGAAGTCGAACAAGCCTACACTGAATACGCCTGTCATGTGACTGATCCACACACACTGAATACGCCTGTAATGTGACTGATTCACACACACTGAATACGCCTGTCATGTGACTGATCCACACACACTGAATACGCCTGTCATGTGACTGATCCACACACACTGAATACGCCTGTAATGTGACTGATTCACACACACTGAATACGCCTGTCATGTGACTGATCCACACACACTGAATACGCCTGTCATGTGACTGATCCACACACACTGAATACGCCTGTCATGTGACTGATCCACACACACTGAATACGCCTGTCATGTGACTGATCCACACACACTGAATATGCCTGTCATGTGACTGATCCACACACACTGAATACGCCTGTCATGTGACTGATCCACACACACTGAATACGCCTGTCATGTGACTGATCCACACACACTGAATACGCCTGTCATGTGACTGATCCACACACACTGAATATGCCTGTCATGTGACTGATCCACACACACTGAATACGCCTGTCATGTGACTGATCCACACACACTGAATACGCCTGTCATGTGACTGATCCACACACACTGAATACGCCTGTCATGTGACTGATCCACACACACTGAATACGCCTGTCATGTGACTGATCCACACACACTAGGCTTGTTCGACTTCATGCAGCTCGGCGCGGACCGATCGGCGGCAGACTTGAAGCAGTGCATGCCGGTTAGAAATGTTGTCCGACTTGATACAGCGCCGACGCCACGTGACTGTGACGTATGGCATCAAAGTACCGCGAGAGCGATTCGAGAGCAGCCGGAGAACTCAGCCAGCGCAGCTTCTGAAGAGCGGCTGCTCGGGGCTGCACGAGCTCTGATGACGACACAGCTGTTCCACGATTGGCCGGATTCAACGCATGACAACGATCACGTGCGTTTCGTGTTTATTCTCACACCTTTAGTTCCACTAAAGCTCACAAATCTTTTTTTTTTTAATTACAGTAAACACTCTTTTCATGTAGTCGCGATTTATTGTGTTATGTTTATCAAAATAAAACTGATTAAAAAACGTTGATTCCACTTCATTGATAGTAGGCCTAGCTGTAGGCTTATGTTGAACTTTATTCTTGTTCAAACAAACGCTGTATGAAGCAGTACATAAAGTATTGAATGAAAATGTCTCTGAAACATCTGTGTATTTGGCAAATATTGCATTTATTTCACTTCAGCTGTGCTAAAGTATACAAACACCACGTGAGCGGTCACTACGGGAACCAGAAAGTGTCCGACTTCACGTCTCCGTTTGCAGCTCCTCCCCGCCTGCACGCGGCTACTCTCGCCGATCGCTTACATCCAGCCGCAGCCGATGTCGAACACACCTATCGAATACGCCTGTCATGTGACTGATCCACACACTGAATACGCCTGTCATGTGACTGATCCACACACACTGAATTCGCCTGTCATGTGACTGATCCACACACTGAATTCGCCTGTCATGTGACTGATCCACACACTGAATACGCCTGTCATGTGACTGATCCACACACTGAATACGCCTGTCATGTGACTGATCCACACACTGAATACGCCTGTCATGTGACTGATCCACACACTGAATACGCCTGTCATGTGACTGATCCACACACTGAATACGCCTGTCATGTGACTGATCCACACACTGAATACGCCTGTCATGTGACTGATCCACACACTGAATTCGCCTGTCATGTGACTGATCCACACACTGAATACGCCTGTCATGTGACTGATCCACACACTGAATACGCCTGTCATGTGACTGATCCACACACTGAATACGCCTGTCATGTGACTGATCCACACACTGAATACGCCTGTCATGTGACTGATTCACACACACTGAATACGCCTGTAATGTGACTGATCCACACACACTGAATACGCCTGTAATGTGACTGATCCACACACACTGAATACGTCTGTCATGTGACTGATCCACACACACTGAATACGTCTGTCATGTGACTGATCCACACACACTGAATACGCTTGTCATGTGACTGATTCACACACACTGAATACGCCTGTCATGTGACTGATCCACACACACTGAATACGCCTGTCATGTGACTGATTCACACACACTGAATACGCCTGTCATGTGACTGATCCACACACACTGAATACGCCTGTCATGTGACTGATCCACACACACTGAATACGCCTGTCATGTGACTGATCCACACACACTGAATACGTCTGTCATGTGACTGATCCACACACACTGAATACGCCTGTCATGTGACTGATCCACACACACTGAATACGCCTGTCATGTGACTGATCCACACACACTGAA